GCGTACTGGGAGAGCACGCCCTGGAACTTCCCAGCTTCGGTGCATCCTGTCTGGTATCACACCTCACAGAAATCCCCGCGTCCTCCCTCCAGGTACGCATGCTCGTTAAAGCACAGAATGGGCTTCACGGTTTTTTCCACCAAGTACTCCTTCGCAGGCCTGTACTGGTGGCCGGGTGTGGGCTGCAGGGATACCCCCCTGCCCTTGAGGAACGTACAGCCTAGTTGACAGATGAGGCAGACATGGTAGCAACAAAGCTGCCTTAAGACTGCTACTGGGTACAGGAAGAACTTTTTGCCAGCGAGGATGATCAAACAAAGGAATGGGCTGACAAGAGGGCACAAACCCATCTCAGAAGCACATGGAATGGGAGGTCCATCAACTGACTTCCTCGGCAGAAGAGAGGCCCTCAAGGTCTGATGATCCACTTAACCTGGGCATGCCCGAACTCACCATATTCCCGTGGTCTGCCGCACATGGCCGCACAAGGCATGGAGCCAGGCAGCTCAAAGAGACACCAAAGTCGGCCTCATGCTAACAGCATTTTAATGGCTGCCGTCTCCTAAGCCCTTCAGGTCTGTGCACATCCTTACCCAAGAGGCACGGGGCGGGCGATGTCAGGACTTGCCCCACATCTCGGGAGCCTAGTGCGGGGTGGTGTGTATGATGTGTACGTGTCTGGTGTGTGTGGTGTGCATGTATGGTGTGTGTGTGGCATGAGTGTGGTGGGGGGGTATGTGTGTGGTGTGCATGTGGTATGTGTGTGGCGTGTACACATGTGGGGGTGCGTGTGTTGTCTAGTGTGTATATATGGTGTGTGGTGTGTGCATGTGGGGTGTGTGTGTGGTGTGGTTGTGCATGTGGGGTGTGTGTGTATGTGTGGTATGTATGTGGTGGTATGTATGGGGGGAGTGTGAACAGTAAGGGGTGAGGGTGAGACATGAGAACCAGAACTCCTCCTAGCAGACGGGCAGTGGGTCTGAACCTGCTACACATGTGTATCTAAAACTTCTATAAACCAAAGGGCCCCTTTACTTGGATGGCTTCCAGGAGCAGAGGCAGAAGTAACCAGCAGAGGGTCTTTGTGATATCCACAGATGGGCATGGCACCCTCCAACCCACAAGCTCCCACCCTCGAGCCTTCCATTCCCAAGCCCCCAGGGCCAGCGTCCCTGTAGGCTACATTCTCCAAGGGCCCCCAGTGCAGTGAGCTCTCCAAGCTCTCCGTTCCACCCCACCCCCTCCACCCACACCGCTGAGGTCACCCGGGCCCAGCCTCTTTTGCAACTTTCCCAAGTCTGTGCACGAGAGGGAAAGGAGGAAAAGTCAGAGAGAAGTGGCCATGCTTCTACAAATTCCTTTTTGCTCCCAAAGCCTTCTTCCTCTGACTGGCTCAGACTGATGCTCTGAAGAAGAGACCCCCAGACTCAGAGAGCACTCCCACCTGCCTCGGAGGCCGAGTCCTGCACAGCTGTAGCTGTAAGTGCCCTGGGAGATTTTCTTGGAGTTTTCTAGTTTTCTGCTCCGGCAGACCCAGAGTTATTTGGGTGTTTGGGGGAGGAGAGGAGAAAGTGGATATAAGTATGAGGCTTAGAACTGGTAGCTTTGGGGTTTAGATCCTGCCCAAAGACCCCCATCCTGGAGAAATTCCCATGGTGGGGCGGGGCAACAAGGAAGGACCTCCCTGCCACTAGCCTGCAGGAGCTGGGGCCCAGAAGGGGAATTTGTAAGGGCCGGCAGTCCCAGGCAGGGCGCAGCTGTGGCTCAGTGAGAGGAAGGCGCACTGCTACACCAGAGGGGCAGGGCCAGCCAACAGTCGTGCTGGCACCCTGAGTCTCCTATTCACATTGACTGAGTACCTTCTGGGATGGCTCTCTCAGGGAGCGTGAGCCCTTGAAGTAGGAAATTATCCCTCTCGTTCGACATCAGTAATATTTTCGCTAGCTCGGTATTACAGTCCTAGGGGCCAGATGCATGGAGTCAGACAGATCTGGTCCCAGCCCTGGCTTACCAAGAACTGTAATAGTTGTTCTTGACTCAAGAATCCGCTAGGCTATAACGGCATTTTGCAAACTGCAAGGGCTCTGTAATTGCGAGGCACTGTGCACAAGCACAGTAACACTAACAATAATGTTTAGATTCTGTGGAGGTAGCGATTTGTCTGTGTCCTCAGACCTGCGTGGCACTGGTGCAGTGAGCATGCACCATGTGTGTGGGGTGGGTGGATGAATGGATGGGTGGATGGACAGATGACGGATATCTATAACCTCTCTAGTCCCAGCATTGGTCAGTCTCTGGGAAGTGGCAGAGAGGAGTTAGGCATAGTGTACTTGGGGAGATAGAACTAATACCCCCAAGAACTTAAACTTAGAGCGCTGAGCCTCCTGGCACCCAAGCTGTGAGTGTGGGTGCAGCTCCCAGAGGGGGCCAGTCTAGACCTGCTAGAATTTAGCTGGGTATGGCAGGGTTTGAGTGTCCTTGGAGGCCACAAAACCTTATGCTCCCTAGGTAGGCTCTTTTCACAGACCAACTTTACTCTCAAGATGGTAAATCCCATGTTTTTTAGGGTGAATATATTCGTCATTCTCTAAGGTAGAGATCAGGGAGGCGAGGTGCTGAAAATTGGGACAAGAAGGCTGATAAGATAACATGGTGGTAGGGAGACCGTGTCTGCTTCAGAACTCCCATTTGGCCCTGCTCACTGGTCTCTCTGTCAGCAGAAATGACATCTCGCCTGACACCAGCGAGGCGGAAGATGAGTGCTGGCTGGGGCCCTGGGCTAGGGAGGGAAGGGAGGTGGGAGGTAAGAGCGGAGCAGGTCCAAGATCCTCGTAGGACTAGTCTCGGGCCCCAGGGTTTGGCAGAAGGCAGTCTGTCTCACTCCACAGGACTGAACCACGCAGTAGTTCTGACAGGTGTGGGCAGGGCCAGGGCTCTGGGCTGAGGAGTGCTGTCAGGCAAGCTGAGGAAGGGTTGGTCATACCTAGTGGGGAGCGGGTGGCCACAGGCTCTGCTCTGTGTGGAGCTGGACTGGCGGATAGCAGGTTCTGCATTCCAAGCCTGTTTTTCACTGTTACTTAACAACGGAGGATGACTCAGTCTGGCCTCTAGGAGGATGTCCCAATTTGAATCATCTGAGTCAGTTGAGTGGGTGGAAAGAAACTTAAAAGGATAGGCATTGCCAAAACCCCACCAAGGGCAGAGGGCATGGGAAGGGACTCCACCAGCCATCTGAGATCCACATGTACCTCTTAGTGAACCCAGTTGGGGTTCATCCCCCAACTCCCCCTTCCTGTGATGGACCCAGTCCTTGTCATCCTGCTTTTGGTGACCCTGAGTCAAGAACCAGGCTATGTTTGAGCAGCAGCCTCAGCATTCCCTGCCCTCCTGGGAATGGGTAGGGAATCTGGGGGACCCACACTTTAGAGACAAATTCAGGGAAGGGGACCTGGATTGGAGGAGACAGGGAGTGAGCTCAAAGCTAAGGCTGAGGCAAGTTAAACCTCAGAAGGACTGGGATGTGGCAGAGGAGCTGAGCATTTTTTTGTGTGGCCCCAGGAGAAATCCACCCCTAGTAGGGGGAAGGTCTGGCTGCATCTTCCCATGAGTGTGGTAGAGATGATCCTGGGTGGGAGATTGGATTAAATGCCCTCTGGGTCCTTCCAGTAGTGTGCCGGAGCAGGCTCTGCACTGGTGCTTGTAATCAGCCAGGTGGGAGTATTTACACCTCTGGAAGTGGCAAACACTACAAATCAGGTCTCTGACTCCTCCCCCTTCCCCAGTCATTAAACAATTATCTTGACCTTACCCAATGTGGGGAGCCCCTCCTGCTCTAAGAACAAGACACATGCCACCTACAAAGGAAGCTACAGTCATGAATGACAAGCAAACAGACTCACCAAGGTTAAGTTACTCACTTAAGTCACAAATGTGTGGAGCTGGGGTAAGAACTCTAGTTCTGAAACTCACTATCACACCATCATGCCGGGCAGTCTCTCTCCAGCTCCAGACACGAAAGTGATTTGTGATTTGTCCTGTCAGGAAGTCACACTCAGATGACTTTGGGCTACTATTCATCTGCTTGCTCTTCTAAACAATGTGAAGTCCTTATATAATTTTTTAAAGTTATTTATTTCTTCTGTAAGAGAGATAAAGACAGGGTTATCTCCATCAGATTCTTGTTTCTTTTTTATTTGGAGAGGTTTTTGCTATAGGGCACGTGCGCTCACCAGAGAGAGACAGAGAGACAGAAAGTGAGAAATCACCCGCCAGGGGGAATGGACACACCGCAATCCCTTCTCCTCCATTCTCACTCTCAGCATCTTGGGCACACATGCACACATACCCGGTGTGAGTTTAAGCCACCAGGTCCGGGACTCAAACTGCAGTTGACTACATAGGAGTTCAGCGACATAGACATTATGCCAGCTGCTGGTCCCTATCAGGTTCTTGTTTCTATGCTCCACCCCAGCTCCAGCCAGCCCTGGATCATGGGCATGTAAACACCCAGCATACTCAGGGAGGTCACTGTATACGAACCTGGAACCTTCCCATGTGGGCCAGCCTTATACCCTGTTAACTACAACAACTACTTAGGCTTGGGTAACACATTTGCAAACAAGACATCTATAAAATAAAATGATAGCTTCCAGCCTCTAGTCTACCTTTCTTATCTCCTTAATCACCCCGTGTGTATTTGCCCATAGCTTTCTGTGTATTTAAAAAACAAACATGTAGATAATATTAAATATACAGTCAGGCACATAGGGTTATTGTTTGTTTTTATATAGTTGGGATGATACAAAGTACTCAGTGATTTCTTTACTTAAATTAAAATTCATGCATATCTTTCTGTAAGACATCGTCACTTCATCGTTGTAAAGTTGCCTAGTATCCAAGGATGGCAGACTTAGGAGTTAGGAGTATGCATATGTATGCATGCAAGACTCCACTTAAAAAAAAAAATAAAGTATAAGCCCAGCAAGTGGCACAAATGGTGGAGAGCCATTCTACAATGCTGTAGCCACATGGTGGATCACAGTTCAGATCCTGGGTCAACTGAAACACGCTGAGTACATATGTGCACACCCATGATCCTGGCTGACTGGAAGGCTGAAGGTGTGCAATCACAGTGTGACAAGACTCTCTCATCACAGAGATGCCTGTGATGAGAAAGAAGCCTCTTTCTTTGAACAAATAATAATAGTAATAATAAATACACATGTGTATTTTCTAAGTACATGTATTTTCTTCTAAGAATAAAACATGTCTATAGTATAAAAATATTAATTAAAAGAGGAGGCAGGTGGTGGAATGGTGGTAACACAGGCGGAGCTGTGGGAAGGCTCCTGGGTTTATGTCCAGAGACCTCCCTGAGCATATCATGCATATGCACCATGCCTTTGATCCAGGCTGGCTGAAACTTAGCTGTGGAACACAGAATCGGGACCCTGTTGAGGGTGCTTGTATCTGTCTGTCTGTCTGTCTGTCTATCATGGAATTAATAAATACGTGTTTTAAAAATTTTGGAATAGGGACCAGCAGATGGTATCATGTTTACATCACTGGACTCCCACATAGTCAACCATGGTTTGAGTCCCAGACCCAGTGGCTTGAAATTCATGCCAGGCGCATGTGTATGCATACTCAAAATCTCGAGTAGGGCATGGAGAAGAAGGGATTGTGGCATGGCCATTCCCTCTGGAGGGGGGTGATTTCTCACTTTCTGTCTCTCTCTGTCTCTCTGGTGAGTACACCTGCCCTATAGCAAAAATCTTTGTTAAAAAAAAATTGAGGGGGACATGCTAATAAAATTTAAAATCACCTAATTTCCTATCACCTGTAATTAATCCCTTATTTTAAAAAATTTGCTGGAGGGCACTTGTGCTTGCCAGAGAGATAGAGAGAAATAAAGTGAGAAAGCACCCCCCAAAGGGAATAGCCACACCTCAATCCCTTTCCCTCCTTCTCCTCTCAGGATTTTGGGTATGCAAGCACACATACATGGCGTGTTTTCAAGCTGCCAGGTCCAAGACTCGAACCGCATGGTCAGTCATGTGAGGTCCAGCTGCCTCAACCACTATGCCTTCAGCTGGCCCAATCACTTATATTTTTTAACTGACAAATAAAAATGGTATGGATTTATTATATACGGCATATTACTTTGAAATACATATACATTGTGGAATGGCTAAAAAAGCAAGTAATGCACATGATTAACATATATTACTTCATACATTGTCTTTTTGTAGGCATGGTAAGAACTCTTAAAATATACTGTCTTGGGACCAGCAGTTAGCGTAATGGCTATGTCGCTGAACTCCCATGTAGTTGACCACAGTTCGAGTCCCGGACCTGTTGGCTTAAACTCACACCGGGTGCGTGTGCGTGCGTGCCCAAGATCACGAGAGGAGAATAGAGGAGAAGGGATTGCGGCGTGGCCATCCCCCTGGGGGGGGGATTTTTCGCTTTTCGTCTCTCTGTCTCTCTCTGTCTTTCTGGTGAACGCACGTGCCCTATAGCAAAGAAACTCTCTCTCTCAAAAAAAAAACTGTCTTAGAAATTTTCAAAAATTTAATACACTATTGTTAACTGTAGTAGCCATATTGTATAACAGATCTCTCACAGGTATTCCTCCTGTCTACTGAAATTGTATATCTCTTGACCAACGTCTCTGCAACTGCCTGCAGCGCCCTATTCCAGCCTCTGGTAACCACCATTCTCCTCTTCTAAGAGTTCAGAGTTTTGGGACTCCACATACAAGCGAGATCAGACATATTTGTCTTCCTGTACCTGATCACTTTACTAAACATGAGATCCTCCACAAGCCTGTTCCATAACCTGGTGGTTAAGAGAGCCTGATCCTACATGGCCTCTTTCACAGTTCAAATCCTAGCCCTGGTAGCTGAAAAACACCAGGCATGTGTATGTGCGTCCTCTCAAATCCCAACAGGATGGAGAAATGGAGAAGGGGTTGCTGAGTGACCATGCCCCATGAGAGGCTGCTTTCTCTCTCTCTCTCTGTCTCACTCTAGAAAATAGTTTTTTTTTTTTTTTTTAAATCTATGAGGTTCATCCATTACCAAAAATGGCAGGATTTCCTTTTTTTAAAGGCTAAGTAGTATCCATTGTGTGTGCACACTACATTTTCTTTATCCATTCATCCCTTGATGGACACTGGGTTGATTTCATATCTTGGCTATTGTGAATAATGCTGCAATGATCCCGGGAATGCAGATATCTCTTCAATATACTGATTTCATTTCCTCTGGAGGTATGTTTTACCTAGCTGTGGGGATTGTTGAATCTAAAATTTTTAATGTGTTTCTTTCTAGTTTCGTTTTCTATGCAAGAGAGAACTTATTTAAATATTTTTGGTGGTATTGTAGGTATGGTTTTGCATCTTCTGGTTTTCATTTTGATTCTAGGGTATTAGCATTTTCTCAGGTTATAATATATGCAAAGCTCCATTTTTTAAAAAGTTTATTTATTCCATGAAATAAAAAGACAGAGAGACTGAGAAAGAAAGAAAGAGGGAGTACTTCCAACAGGATTTTCATACTTTGACTCACCTCCTGTTTCAGCCAATCAGGATCATTGGCACACACACACCCAATGTGCACGGGGAGACCTCAGGATGCAAATCCAGGACTTTCTCACGTGACTTCAGTGCCGTGGAGCTTTGCGTTAGCACTGTACCGTGGAGGCTGGCCTCACCAACTCCATTTCAATGATCACTTAATAATCCACTATGCGCCATGATTTAGCCACTTTTTTCTTGTTGTGTGTCTATAAACAATACTGTGAAGAACATTCTTGAACAAGAGCCTTTGCCTGCATTTAAGATGATTTCCTTAGGACAAATTCCTAGAAGTGGAGGGCAACAGCATTTTTTAAGGCATTCAACACTTGCTGCCAAGTAGCTTTCCAGAAACATGTACCAATTACACCCCGCCAGCTGCATTCGAGAAGAGCCTTTTGATTCTGTGATTGCCACAGCCCCTCGGGCTGGGGGGAGGGGCGCTCTTCGTCCAAAGCCTCTGGGCAGTCCTGACAATAGCGTCCTTGTCCTGCCCGCCCATCTCCTCTTCCTGCGCTGCCCTCACCCCGGGCTCCAAGCTTGACTGTCTGCAAGGCCTCCGCTCAGTCCTGTCTTGTCTTCTTGGCCCTCCAAGCTGCCTCTGAGAACAGGGTTGGTAGAGCTGAAGGGTGAGAGATTCGCCCATCCTCTGGGGTCCCCATTCTCCCAGTCTTGGGGAGGCCTCCAGGGGAGGTGAGAAGGAGAGTGTGCAAGAGTGGCTGAATCATGTGCCTCTTTTGGAGAACAACCCCACCTGAGTCCAGGGCCCAGGGCACATGCACCCATTGAGAAGGGGAAAGCAGAGGCCAGTGTCAGTGACAATGGCCACAGGCGACACTGGCCAGCATGCAGATACCCTCTGTTTATCTACAGACTCTGAAGCCCCTCCATGAATCCCCGGAAGAAGGTTGACCTGAAACTCATCATCGTCGGAGCCCTGGGGTAAGCCAACCTCAGCTCGGGATCTGGGAGGCGAGAAGCAGCCTCTTACCCGAGGGCCATGAGGCCTCCTGGGTGTGATCCTAGTACCTAGAGGTCCCCTTTTAATTCAGGGTAGTACCAAGAAGTGCATCCCATCCTAAGGAAGGGAGCTCTGTTGGGAGAAAGGGTGGGAGTAAACATGGGATCTGGTCCTGGCTCTGCAGTAGCTATGCAGTAACCAGCTGCATGAGTTAGGCAAGCCTTTAGCATCTATCCCCCCAGACCTCCAGCCATGTACAGGGCAAATCTAGCTATTGCTGTGGGTTATTTGGCTCTCCCCAAACCTCTCTGCTCACTTCGATTGGTTTCTACTTCTAGAAACAGTTCCTTGTCTCTTACTACTCCAAGTGTGGTTATGGACCCAGATGTTAGAAATTCAGAATCTCAGGGAGAGAAAGTGGCATGTGGGGCATAGTAAGATTCTGAGAATAGTATGGATGTATGTGCATACTTTAGTGTATTTGTGTGTGTGTGTGTGTGTGTGTGTGTGTGTGTGTGTTCATATGTGTCCGGGGCTTTTCCCTCAGTGTGGGAAAGACCTCCCTCCTCCATCAGTATGTGCACAAGACGTTTTACGAGGAGTACCAAACCACGCTGGGGGCCAGCATCCTCTCCAAGATTATCATGCTGGATGACACAACGCTGAAGCTCCAGGTGAGCCTCCCTCCCTATTCCCCTTAACGTACATAGACCCGAAAATCGCCCACACTCCCTGGGCAGCCACTTCCATAGCCCTGTGCATCAAGGAGCTAGAAGAGTCTAGAGCAGAGATCAGCAAACTTTATCTTACGAGTCAAACGTGGCTCACCACCTGTTTTGGTAAATAAGGTTTCACTGGGACTCAGCCACACCTACTAGCTTGCTCATTGTCTTTCACAATACAATGGCAGCATTGAGTAGATGCAAGAGAGACCGAATGCCCTGAAAAGCCCGAGATAATTACCTACTGGCTATCTTAGAAAGAAAAAACAATGCTGATGCCAGATTTAGAAGGAAGAGCAGTAATCAGTAGTTGGGGGACCTCATACTTGTCTCAGGTTCTCCAGAAAACTTGACTGGTGACCTTGGGCACGTCACTCCCAAATTTTAAGTTTCCGAATCCGTCAAATGGGAATGCCAATCCCTGCCCTATGAGCCAAAGGAAAACTGAGGGTGTGGAAATACTGTCACGATGTTACTCGTTTCTGCAAAGCTGCTGTAGTGTACATGTTGGTAGGATCGTGGGAGAGTCAAAGTGCCCCTGTGTCAAAGGACCATACGCACCCACAGCAGGACTTTCTGCTTCCTATGCCAGATAGGAAGTTTTGGCGTGCTGTAACCCAGCCAGGCTTCCCTCCACCCACTCATCACAGCCCTCTGGGGGGTGGCTGTTCTTCCCCTCCAGATCTGGGACACAGGCGGTCAGGAGCGGTTCCGCTCTGTGGTGTCTACGTTCTACAAAGGCTCTGATGGCTGTATCCTGGCATTTGATGTCACCGACCTGGAGTCCTTTGAAGCCCTGGATATCTGGCGGGGTGACGTTCTGGCCAAGATCGTTCCTGTGGAGCAGTCCTACCCCATGGTGGTGCTGGGGAACAAAATTGATCTAGCAGATCGGAAGGTACCATTCATTTATTCATTCATTCAACACGTGTGAGCATCCATTATGTGCTGGTGATTATGTGCTGGGTCCCACACACAGAGCTAAGTCAGGCACAATCCTCATTTCAAGAATTTCACAGGCCAGGGCTGGCCCAGTAATGCAGTAGTAAACCCTGAATATTAGGAGCTAGATCCCACATGGCAAACCACGGTTCAAATCCCAACCCCAGCATGTTGAAAAACAAGCCAGGCATACATGCATGCATGGTCAAAGTCCTACCAGAATGGAGAAATGAAAGAGAAAGGAATGTGACATAACTACGCCTCAATAGGGGAGTTCTTCTCTCTCTCTCATGAGCATATGTGCCCTCTGATGTTAAAAAAAAAATGTTTTTCACATACCAGCAGTGGATACAGATACTTTAAAAGACAATTACAGGAGCCGGCAAATGGCATGGTGGTTAAAGGCACTGGATTCCCACATGGCCAACCACGGTTTGAGTTCCAGACCTGGCGGCTTTGTTTTCTTCCTTTTCCTTTCTCTCTCTGCCTCTCTCTGATTAAATTAAAATAATAATAATAGTAAATGGAATTAAATAAATAATTCTTAAAAAATAAAAAGGTAATTATGGTACAACAGAGCAAATGCAATGATAAACATATATGGTATTTGAACAGCACAATGAAGGGGCATCTACCCAAGCCCAGATAGGACAGCCTCCTAGAAGAGGTGGACTCCAGGATGAAGAAACAGCATGCTGTGAGCTGAGAACTGAAGGCAATTTTGTCTAGAGACAAGGAGTAAAGAAGTTGAGGCATCAGAGGTAGGTAGGAGTCAGGACTCTGCAGAATTTGAATTAACCTGTAGAACAGTGTTTTCTGCTTAGCATCAAGTAGGGGTGTGCAGTCATGAATTCTTAGGTCAGCAAGCTAAATGGGAGAGTGATTTTTTTTTTTCTAGCTTGAGCATATTCTAGATCATCAGGTTAACCATTTGACAGCTGATCTGATCTGTTCCACCCTACAGTGACTCCACTTGGGTGGGTGTTTACCTTGACAAGGCCATTGGGTAGAAGGATCTTTCCTTCTTTCTTTTTCTTCTTCTCCTTTTTTTGTTTTTTTTGTTTATTTCTTTCTTTCATAAGAGTGAGCGACAGAGAAAGAGACAGAGAGAAATGCCCTCAACAGGGTCCCATGTCATGATCCACCCCTGACAGCGTTTCCAGCCAGCCAGAATTATGCGTGCACTGGCCCAACATGCACAGACCCATGCCAGCAAATGAACCAGGGCTCTTCCAGATGGATCCAGCTTCACTTGAGCAGTGCATTACTGCTGTGCCACTGAGCCTATCCATGAAGATAGTCCTTTTTTAATTGCTACATGCTAATTAGAAAAGAATGGAGGTAAACTTCATGTGCCAAAGATGAAGTCCAACTAACACCAAAAAGAGCTGTTTGAACTAATTTTTTTCTTAGTGTTTCAAATAGAAACAGATAATGGGGAACTGAATCATAAGGTTTGAATTAGGGTTTCCAGTGGTTCAAATAGAGAAATGTGGCAGGAGAACTGAGACTTCATTTGGCATGATGGATTGTGTTGATTGGGGAAGAGAGGGAGGGATGATGTTTCCAACCAGGCTACCACCTACAGAAGGAAAAGCTTCAGGTTCAAGAGAAGGAGATGTATGGTTTGGACATGCTGAGTTTGAGGAGCTGGTGGAACAGTAGTTGAAGATGACCAGCAGGCTGCGAAATACATAAGAATGAAACTGCAAAGGGAAAGTCTGTGCTAGAAGAAGCCATCAGTTTTCAGGTCACTTCAGGTTGGAAACTCAGTGTTAATTCTCAAATTACATAACCCAGTCTCAGATAATAAAAGTCCCAAGTTCTTTCCAAGGCAAGGTGTCTCTCTCTTTTCTCTGCTGGGGCCAGCTGCAGGAAAACCCTTTGAGTCTCATCACTGACCCCACATATTTTCTCCCTTTATCTGAAATATTAAATG